TTTATACCCTGAATTACAATGTTTAGTCACTCCTTGAACTTCAGAGGTGCTCTACATTTATGTTTTGAGGTTTCAGAAAAGGCTAGCGAGATACCAGTCTATCATATTGTATCATGGTCATTTTGACAAAGTGTTGATGTTTTATATACAGTATTATTGCTCACAAGTTGGTTATGTTATTTATATGAGTAGATGTAACTATTGATTTTTATCATATATATATATAGTTACTCCATGATCATTGTTGAAATCTGATCACTAGCCCTTCCCCAAGGCCGACACCACCTCCTTGCCCTTTTTCTCCATCTCGATCTGCACTAAGAACAACAAAAATTCAAAGGTTGAACAACATTCAATCCTATCGTCCAAAGCCCCTATATTTACCCACCCAAAGGCCACCTACTTACCCACTACCGCACTCAATTAACCCTCTCTGTCGCTCACTATCACTCCTCTTCCACCTCTCCAGCACCATGAACCCCATCCACAACCCCTTCCCCTAGGGCATTGATTGGAGGGCTTTATTCCTTGGGTGGTCGCTCAGTGATTGCACCAAGTTCGAGAACACCATGAAAGTGTGCTCGGAATTCACTAGTATCGAGGACATCCACAAGGAGGCAGATGTTGTGGCAAAGAAGGCGATCGCCGAGGAGTTGAAGACGCTGATCCCTGACCCAGTGAAAGGCGCTATGTCAGTGGACATACTGCACTAGGCCATGGATCAAGCCGATTCCAGCGATGCCGGTCAGAGAGCAAGATGGGCCAAGTACATTGGGTATAGGGCACGTCAAGATCAGTTGTTCACCTCCGTGTCGCTGGCCATAATTGTTCTGGAGCCAGAGAAAGAAGAAGAAGCGATGGAGGTGGTGGTCAGGACGCTGGAGCCAGGCCACCGTACCATGCCAATAGTTATGTTCGACGGCGAGGATGAGGAGACGGTGCATGCTACAGTCGAGCCGGAGGACAACTACAAGGCCAAGGGGCCTGCTGCGCCAAGCGCCTCGAGTGTAAGATTTACCCAGACTCCCCAATTCCCTTGTACTCAATCCCGATCGAACCCTCAAATCCATCACTAGATGTGCTGATCAATCCTATAGCTATTTAATTCGACCCCCCATTCCCCTAGAACGTGGATCGAATGGGCAAATTGAATCTAAATGCGGATTGAATACGAAAATAACAAGCGAGGAGGTGAAAATAGGGCTTACCGCCATTGCCGAAGTGTTGTGGGTGATGTTGGTGATGTAGTTGATGGATGTCGATGGTCGCATTGATGTTCTCCCATCTGTTGATCGCCTGTGTGAGAGTGGAGGGAGCGGATAGTGAACGGTGAGGGAAGGTAAGGGTAATTATGCCGATGCTTCGGAAACAACATGGTGTCTCAAGCATGGCTCCTCATGTGCAGCCGCCGCCACCCACGTGCATCGCGCGGGTCTGGCCGTGGAAAAACCGCCGATTCGGTGGTTCCCAGCGGGCCTGGCCCCAAGTTGCTTTACGATTCGTGCTATGTAGGCCGAACAGTAAACACATGCAACCAAAGATGTCATTTTCTTCCCGCGCGGACCTGATTGGGGTATCTGCGAGCGACCAAACACGCCCTTTTTACATACACGTATGCCGCTCTCGTCTTTTCTTCTATGAGCATGATATGTCTCCCAGTACACATCCTTAAAAAATGGTGTTTTGGGCAAAAAAAAATCAACACTATATACACATTACTGTTCATACTTTTGGTCCTGATTATTACCCCCTCAGTCCCATAATAGTATAAAAATGATCTTATATTATGCGACAGAGGGAGTATCTTTTTGCCTGAAATCAACGGGTTTTTTCCTTAGCAAATTTTTTATGAGTCTCTACTACTTATAAAAGAGCAAACATAATCTTTTCTAAACGCACCCCATAAAACAAACACAGACCCATTACCACCGCATGATTAGGCCCACTAAACTTAATCTAATGGCCAGCCATAATCTAACTCATTTTCTGTGTGCAATTTACATTGGCTGACCGTACTCCACCGTAGATGAAACTGCACGCTCGGTCAATTAGGAAAATATAATCGCAAGCCATTCTATTAGGAAACAAATCATCGGGGGCATCCTATTATATAGGAAACTAATCAGGGGTGCATCCATCCTATTAGGAAACTAAATCACGGGCATAGCATATGCAGTATTGTTGCCGCCATCGTCTTCTACCTTCAGGCCAGGGCGCTCTTGCATCCGAGTGCGACGACTGCATCGACGCCCAAAGCATGCTCTCCGGCAGTGTCGGCTTCAGCTCCGTGTGCATCTCTCAAGCCGCCAACCGCCGTCATCCCCAGGGCAGCGTCGATCTCGGATGTGGTGCAGGAGGTGCTGTCGTCCGGCTGGGCCGTCGAGGACCTCCTGCAGTTCTCCCTGCGTACACCATCAAGGGCACCAAAGGTCTATCATGAATCAACTAGGTGAACATTTAATTTGATTTGGGGGTATTTCGGGCTTTGTGCGACTAATACTGTACCTTTGGCACTTGGTGGTTGGTCAGATTTTCTTGATCTGCAATTTCATCTACCAACCAATCCTCCTCTAATGCGTAGTAGAAACATTTTTTGGGAAAGGAAGAAATTGCTATTCTGGCGTTTAACTAATCATTTGATAATTCCAAATACTACATGTTATCTGGAGCATGAAAACCATTCCCATATATAGATGAAGGAGGAAAGGAGACTGATTGTAAGAGTGTATTTGTTTAGACCTACATAGTTCAGTGAGTGCACGTGCATTACAATCAAACAAGAATCTCGGGGCTTTAAGCAATCTAGAATTCGAGATTTGGGATTATCTTAGGTTGCCAATGCTTGTACTGCAAATGTATAATCTGATATGACGCGTACGTAAGAACTGTGCAGCAGTCTTGGATTACAACTTAGTATCAGAGGGATACTGAAGAAGTGAAGATGCATTTCTCTCTTTCTCAGGGTTATTTCTACTGCCAGATGCATTAAACTGGACCGTATCAAGAGATAACACCATCACAATGATTAGAATTGCCTTATTATGGTCTGATTGTTGTGTTTACAGATGATGTCCCTTAGCTTGGAATTAAGGTGGGTGGAGCCTAGCTCGAGTGGTTGGAAATCAGAATGTATAAATCGTTTTTAGAGAAAACTTTACACGCAGAATTCATGTGCTCATGTGTCATTTTAAAATAATTGCATAGCAATCCAGTAAATTATGTAAGTTTCAGTAGGAGGCAAGATAATTTAGATGTACTACTATTTCAGTTACATGATTCTATACATCTAAAAATGCTCACATGATTCTGTAACTGTGGAGAATATCTCTCGCTAATCTATAATGTGTGCAAATGTCTAATTCATTTAAATAAAGATAATTTTACCATGCAGAAGGATCCAATGAAGAAACTAATCCTGCTGGGTTCCAACAAATAGATCTTTCGAAGGATATGTTCTAATATAGCTGTCGTATACTGTTGCAGAGAAATCATATAAACTGGATTCGGTCGGATTTTTTTCATGACAATGTAAGTTCTTTTATTTATTCATGTGCATTTCATTAACTTACTTGGTGTGTGATTTATGCTCCCACTTTTCATAGCTATCTCAATATCAAGAAATATGTTGTAGCATTTCATTAAGAACCTTTTAACTAAAGTTAGTTGTTCATGCAAACACAAGATGCACCGAAAGATAATGGCGAAGAAAATGCAAGTATGTATTTACGTAAATTGTTAGGTTTGACTCTAGGTATGTTGTATTATTATTCCGTGGTGTGCTATATATGCTTTCAAGAATTTATAGGAGGCAGCAAAAGGAACACAATGAGGGATCCACTGATTAAAAAAAGTAGCTGAATTTTTTTTGGCTTAGTAAACATTGTGACCCTTCTCCTAAAAAGTTTGATACATTGTTGAAGAAAATAAAATTGTGATAACCGTTAATCTATAACTTTCATATTTAATGAGCAAGGTTATTTGGTTTAACTCTTCCAAAGTTTGTTGGAAGAAGTTTCACATACTTGGCGAAATTAACAATCCTCAGAGATCAAATCCTTTCCTATGTAGTGTAAACATTTGGAGGTATAATTAATTTTTTTGTAACATAATAACGATGCATGCAGGGGAGGTTGAATAGTCTATAGTAATTTTCTTATTTGAGGTTTTTCATGTTTTTTTGTAATGAGGCAAGCTGACATGCATGAAAGCTTGATAAGGTTAATCTTGACAAAATACACTAGAATACTTTTCTTTCCATCTTTATTTTTCTTCATATCCCATTTCAGTTTCTGTATGTACAGACTATCTTATAGCATTGTAGGTTTGTCTGGTTGCCAGCATGCAAACATATATAAAACCGGATAAATACTTTGTATCATGATGATATTGGATTTCTTTTAGCCCTTTTACATTTCAGTTAGTTCTTGTAAAGCATCTTCTATTTCTACACATATAGAAGTCGTTGTGGTCACATATCATCTTGTATTTCCTATTTGCAATTATATAGGTAGCTATATAATTTGGGAGTACACATAACCGAAAAGTATATATAATTTTGATCTGAATTAGTATTTAATATATTTTGCTATGTAGATATTAGGTAATTTTGGTAGTACACATAACTGAAAAGTATATATATTATCTTTCATTTGATATATATATATATATATATATATATATATATATATACAAATTTTTTATTTTTACTATGTGAATCTCATATGGTTTATGTTTGAGACGTGCATTGCACGTGCATGCTTACTAGTACAACAGAAGGTTAACTTTGTCTTCAGAAAGTTTCAGAATTTGTTGAGTTTTTTGGCAATGGCTAAAATACTTTTTCATATGAGGTGTTGGTGCATCCGAGAGCCAAGGGGTATTTGCCGAATAACTGTCCGCTATCTCCGCTACCCGGGGGCGCCATTCTATCGAACAGCCCGCCGGCACCGCCGCCTCCTCCTTATTTCGGCGACTAACCCCTACGTCTACCGAAGATTTCAATGGCGGAGAGGTTCTTCTCCGGCACGTCCACCGCCGCACCTCCGTTCGACGATGCCGGCATCCTCCTCCTCTCGGGCCCTCCGTGCTGGTATGCCGCCTCTCAAACTTCCCTCGGCTTGCTGAAACTAGCTCCTTTCCGCCCTGCGCGCCGGAGCAAACCGAAGCTGTCGTAAAACCCATGCGTTTTATCCAGTACGTTATCCCCATCATCCGTGCTTACCTCACTCCCCGCCGCATCGATTTTCTGGCCTTTCTTGCTGCTGTAACAGCGGGAAGACCTCGCTCCTTTTCCAGTTCGCGATAAACCGTGCGGCGGAGAGCGGCCGGCACGTGGTGTTCATTTGCAGCAAGGGGAGGTTGGAGAACAGCCCCCCCTTCTTGTCCCAGGTGAGGATTCTTGCCTGTCAGTTTAGCTAATGAGGTGAAACTGTATACGCTGGTTGTTCCCGATTTGTGAAGCCACAACTTTTCCTCTTGCTTCCAGGGTGTTGAGCCATCCCTGAGCGTGCTTCAGAGAATACAAATCAAGTAAGGAGTGTTGAACCTACAATGCTGGTTTACTTTTGTAATACCTTGCTTAAACTCCATAAGAGTAAGAGTATTGGTCATGCTATGTACTGTGACATTTTCAGTGTTTATTTGGACCGGTTTAATGTTTGGAATTATGGTGATATGGTAGACTCGGCTATATCATGCAGTCATAACTAATTTATGCTTAGTTCTGTGCATTCTATGTCTGCAGATACATTGAAGACGATGAGGGAATCAGGAAGTACTTTGCTGCATTTCACCTGCTTGACGACTTTCCTGCTGCAGTCATTGTCGATGATTTTACCGGTTTCTTTTCGGAGAGGTGCTATCATTTTTTCCTTTCTTCTGACCATTATGCTGCGACTCAGTTACTGAGTGCATTGCAAACACTATGCTGCGACTCAGTTTAGCATTTATGTTACAACAATGTGTTACACAATTCTCCTTTTGGACTTTAACCATGAGATGGATTTGTTTCTGATATGTTTCTTCTAAGAAACGCAGTTGAGGATTTTCAGCATTTGTAGTTAATATAAATAATGGTAATATCTAATACTGTATGTCCAAGCCATTACAGTGTGCTGGGTGTCCTTTTGTCTCCTAGCTCAGCATATTCCATTCATAACATGCTTTCAATTGTTTTACTAAAACCTTTGGTTATAGATCACCTTTACTCTGTTCAGGATGGCCAGACGTTATTGAGATGTCAACCATCAAAATAAAGAAATTATAAGCTCTTTAATTGACGTAAAATACAGACTCTTGATATTTTATATGACTAATTCTTACCATGTTGAAGCTGTAATAGGAGCTGCCAGTTAAGATATGGAAATACTAGGGCTCGTGATCTAGCATTGGTTCGCATATTAGCTTTGTGTCAAAATGCTATTTCGCATGCAAAGTAAGTGATGAAGTCAAACCCAGATCTTTAAGTATCTCCATTTTCTATGTTGTTTACAGTAAGAAATCTCAATCCCTTTTGTAGTGCAAAGCTTGGAACCATTGGATCTTGCAACCTCTTGCTCTCTGATGTACATCAAGGTGACAACCCAAGGTCCCTGTTCATCTACAAGAGATGGATAGGTTCCATATATACAATCCAAGGTAAACTGTGTATGTAGCCATTATTATTGTGCATTCGTACATTTATTAAGTAAGCATTTTGTACTGCCATTTGTCATCCCTTAGTAGTACATTTTGCATTCCCATATAAGGCATGCCAGCTGGTTGATTTGCTTATTCTCTTTTCCATATTATAAGATGTCTTTGTCCAGAGTACCCAGGTGAAAATGCCAAAGTACACGAGGACATTTAGTTCAAAATGCCAATTCGCCTTATTTGAAATCCATAGAACTTTCCCAATATTTGTTTTTATGGCCATAAAGTGAATATAAATTTGATGACCCTTGAGCTAGTATGTTTTCATGATTTAATCTTACTGTCTTTCCTCAGGTGACGGCTTAGGTTCATATCTACTCAAGAACATTAGCACTCCACAAAGTGGAACCAAGGAAGCAAGAGCAGCTAAATACTCAATAGCTTTACAGTACCTTGTTCTTGAGGAAATCAAAGAATAATACGTTGCTATTTATTTGAGTTTACTGTGCGAGATTTTAGGTTCAGATTTCCCCGAGCTGATTGTAAATCCCAAATCTTAATTCCTACTTTGGTAAGATTTTCAATTCAGATTCGTCCATGAATTGGCTGTAAATTCTAACTCTAAATTCCTACTCTGGTATTGGCCATTCCCTTGGAACAGTAAGATGCAAAAAGTATTTTAGTCGATACATAAGATTGCTTGTACTCCCTTTGTACCAAAATACTTGTCATGGTTTCAGTTAAGTTCGAACTAAAACCGCGACAAGTATTTTGAACAGAGGGATTATGCTTTAGTTGGAAGCCACACTCAGAATTCGGCTTATTTGATGCTGCCTAACCAAAAAAAAGAAGAAGCAATATCTGTTGAGTATGACTGTTTAAATATCGTGTGCTGCTGTTCATTCCATCAAATAGAATTAGCAGAATTAACTGCTGATTACACTGAGAAAGATCTGAGAATGATAAGATATTTAAAGTTGCAAGTAAAAGTCATGTAAAAAGCACCAAAATTAACCATTACATATTTGTGTTTCAAATACATTGCCATTACACGAGAAATGACAATGATACCAAAAGTAAACAAACAACTAGCAACTTGGCAAGGTAACAGAAATGGATAATATTGTTCGTCTGGCGCAAGCTTAGAAGTAACATTATTTTCCGTGAAATATCTCCCATGGAAGAGATCAACATTGCAGCAGGAACAGCTGAAGACTGGGTATGAAGAAAATGAAAATATTGCCTGGGCTGAAGAGCTCAGTAAGGATCAACAGTTGAAAAACTCCCATCTTCTCCCACATCAATGAGAAACTACAGCTCACAAATGTCACCTGGGAAGGTAGGAGCTTGGTAGTATTGGAGACGAGCCAATCCACTCAGAGATCCTTGACAATCTCAATGCCCATTGAGTTAGCTGTGCCAATGATAGATTTGCACAACGCCTCGAGTGACATATGCTTGCAGAAGGGGTCAGCTTGTTTAAGTTTTGCAATCTCGTAAACGTGGCGGAGTGTTAGGGATGACACAACGTTGTGACCAGGACGAGTGCTGGCGGTCTCAATTCCTGCTGCCTTCTTGAGGAACCATGAAACGGACGGCGACTTGACTACAAACTCGAAAGTGCTATCTTTGTAGGCAGTTAGCGTGACCTGCATAGGAGTTTCTGCCTTGTATTTCTGGGTCCTTGCATTGAAATCCTTGCAGAACGCCATCAAATTGAGCCTATAAAAACCGAGTGCCGGACCAACTGGTGGTGCAGGACGTGCAGCACCAGCTGGAACAAGCAGGCGGATTGTTGCCAGTATAGGCTTCCGTGCTACTGCATCTTTCAGAGTTGCCATGTGATTGCTTTAGTAGATCTGCAGTAAACACGAGAGTTTAAATGGAATTAGCAGAGTTTTCAACGAATTTCATGAAAAAATTGCAAGACAACTCAACAAGTGTTTGCTGAAAGCAACATCATAACAGACTTAGGGTCTGCAATCTGCCTCCTCGAAGGCTTTAACTTTTGAATTATATACCACTAGATGCCAAAGATACACTTGTAATGTACCTGAAGAGCTAGCGTCGGAGGAAAGGTGATTTACAGTGGCATGGAAATTCCTTGACCTGCTCTAAGCAGAAGCAATTTACAGACTATTCCTAGTCTCTTTCGACACCCTCTTCAGTCAATCCAACATAGCCTAGAATGTGGTCAAATGATGAACAATTCTACTAACATGTGGTTACAAGCAGTCAGACTGATTGGCGCAACTGATTGGCTTTTGCGGATGAAGTAATATATCTGGGCAATCCAATGAACCTTCTGGAACTATGTCCTGTATTGTTTTTCCAAAGATACATAAGAATTGCTCTATTTTGATTATTTTCATAAAGTTACTTGGCTTGTCAGCTCAGTGGATCTATTTCAGATGAGGAGACCAACTAAAACAACGTTTTATTTCAGATGAGGAGACCAACTACATACTGTTTTTCCAAAGATACTTTTTTTTAACCGGGCTAAACCCCTTTCCATTGAAGCATAACGTAAATATAAAGCCGATCCAAGATTGTTCAGGAGATGGGAAAGGGAAGAAGCGAGTTCAACGCACCAATGGGGAAACCCACTGTAGATGCTCGCAATTGAAAGTATAATCCAAAGATACATAATAATTGCTCTATTTGATCATTACTTTCATACAGTTACTTGGCTTGTCAGCTCGCGGAATCTATTTCAGATGAGGAGACCAACTAAAACAACATTTTATTCAGGCAGACAACTTGTTGGACACTGACTTGCAATATCTGGATGCTCTGCAAACAGTCTCAAAAAATACATAAATAAAGTGACCCCTAGATCAAAGCAGTGCCACAAATCCTCTTTGAAATTTAGAAATAATGATTACCACCATGAAAATGAAAGGTTGGAGAATCCTGCAAGTGATACGCTCGAGGGGATTTCATGGATTTTGAGTTTTTGACACCCTAAAATCACGAAAGGAGTAGCGCTCGGCTGTAGGACTAGGCTTCCCGGCACACCGCGCCGCTGGCCACTCCGGCCGCGGCAGGCACCGCACGCCTGCCACCGCCCACCCGGGGGCTCGCCTCCGCCCATGCCTCAGTGCCCCCAGCTCCGGGATCCCGCGTCTCCACCGGCCAGCCTTCAATGCGGCGCTTCCGCTGGTCGGGATATGTCCCGGGTCCCTCTGATGTTCCAGCCACCCCGTCCTCCTCTGCGGGCTGGCGTTGGGTTGCGCCCCCTCCCTTACTCAAATCAATCGTGGTCACTCCTCCATCCACACACATTCACTCCTCCGGCGCCATTGATGAGGAGGGATGGACGACCTATCAATCCCGCAAGAGCCGGCACGCAAGCAAAGATCAGCTGGTCGGCGCGGGGAGCCAGCGCAGGGGCAATAAGTCCTCCCACGGGCACGAGGCCTTCTTAAGCAAATTCAAAGGCCTTTGTTTTCGTTGCCTCAGCCCCCACCATCGCCGGATAGATTGTAGAGACCCACTGCACTGCATCATTTGCAAGAAGGCCGGGCATTTCGGCAGAGAGTGCCCGCTGAACCCGAAGAATCGACGGAGGGCGACACGGTGAATGAGAGGCTGGGTGAGCTGCGACTGGTGGGTGAGCTGCGACTGGTGGGTGAGCGCCTTGTTTTCCCCAGTTCGGCGGCGATGGCTGAGGCGGACGCCCCCTACATCGACCATCGGCGCGCGACAGCCACAAGGTCATCGCTTCCTCGCCGACCATGGAGCAGCAGCTCTTCCTGCTTCAGCAACATGCCGCCATGGTCACCGCGGTGAGCAAGATCCACGCGGTCAGCCCCAACTCCATCGGCGAGGCCATTGAGAAGGAGTTCCAGATCCCCGCGCACCACCTCCTCATCACCAACCACAACCCCGAAGACTTCTTCATCAACTTCAACCTGCCGGCGCACAAGGAGCTCGTCGTGCGCCGTGGCTCGCTGGTGGTGGACGAAGTCACATTCCTGCTAGAGCCTTGGAGGGAGGACACGCACGCACTGCTCGAGACCTAGATGATCAATGTGCGCATCGTCATTGAGAAGCTGCCCATGATGCTCTAGACCTTGGAGGGCGCCGCGGACGCGCTCGGGGACAAGGTGATCATCAACCGGCTGGATAGCCGCACGTTCGAGCGTGCCGACCCAAAGACTTTCGCCGTGTGGGCGTGGGTCGCCGACCTCGCCCACATCCCCACACGGCGCACGCTCTGGAAGCACACCAAGGGGGCTGGCCTCGTCGAAGAGATGTTTGGCTTCTCCCCGCCAAGATGCGCGGTGGCGCCACCGCGCATCTCAAGAGGTGGGACGTCCTGGTGCACCTGGACCGCATCGAGGACTGGACGCCCCTGTCTCCGCGCTCATCTCACTCAAGGCAAAGCGGCATCCCCTCCTCCGAAGAGGACGAGGACGACCGCCCGTACCCACGGAACCCACCCATGGGCGGCTGGGTGCATGGCAAGGAGGACGGCAGGCCGGTGCTGGGGCCTAACCGGCGCGGGCGCTCCCAGGTGCGTGTGGTGTCCACGGGCTGTCGGGGCATGCCCTCGACGAGGCCAAGGCGCGGCCATGATGGAGACGACGGCCACAGTGGCCAGCAGCATTCCTGGAAGGACACCTTGCTTGGTCGGGCGCGCGGCAAGGAGCCGACGACGGCGGGTTCTTACTCGAACCGCCACAGGAGCCGCACCCCGGTGTCGTGCCACCGCCAGGGCACACCGCGTGGGCACCGCTCCTCCACTGGACACGACGACTAGCAGGCAGGGCAGGCGGCCAACCTCAGCAAGGGGCAGCGTGCGACCAGCCGCAGCAAGGGGCCGGGGCACTCGTCTGCCGTTCCGGGTGCATCCACTGTCGCCTCCCTCCTTGCTCCTCCGAGGCCGTTGTCCAACGCCACAAAGGCCCCCACCAGGGTGGACCCGGTTACTGACTTCTTCGACGGCGCAGTAGAGGTGCTTCCTCCACCATCACGCCTGGACTCGCGCGCTTCCAAGCTCGATGCCACGGTGGCGGCTAAGCTCGACAAGCCACTGAACTTCGCCAACGGAGGGAGCACGGGAAGCGGCAACCCGCTAGACATGGGACCGGCTCTCTCGCTGGCACGTCACACCCCCGAGGCGGCGATCACCCACTCCCTGCAGCTCAGAGCGGTGACAAACCAGGTGTGCCACCTTCAGCTGGGAGAAGGAAGCAGCAGCGGGGCGTCGGGGCAGCTCTTCACCAACATCCCTCCGTCGGCAGTATTCCACCGGCAGGGGGAGATCTCACGTCGCTTTACACTGCCCTAGTTGTCCTACTACCCAAAAAAGATGGGGCCATGAAGATCACTGATTTCCGCCCGATCAGTCTCATTCACTCCATAGCAAAATTGATCTCTAAAGTGCTCTTCATTCGGCTTGCAGAGGTGATCCACACAATCATATCTCCAGCCCAGACGGCTTTCCTCCGGACCAAGTGCATCCACGACAGCT